TCCTCAATCCCAAGTCCCGCTGGGCAAGCGACTTGAAGAGAGTTGTCTTTCAATCCTTCCTGAAAGCAGTCTAGTCGAAGCCGAAATTACTTTAGAGCCGCAGTACTCGAGCTCATAACTCAGACGGGCCAAAATACCCCAGATTCTCCCGCCCCTTTCGCATTCAATGCGATCGACGTCGAGGTTCCGTTCATACATCGATCTCGGCCAGGTCTTTGCCCAGCGGCCCGTCCGCTGCGTCCCTCCCCTCTCGAGCAGCTTCAACCACTCTACCTGGCTCCGAAGGACTATCAAATGCATACCTTTCCGCTACACCAAATGGTTTCATTACCGGACGGTCGTACTTGCTTGCTACTCCGCCGCAGCCTGCAGCCACCTCCTATCCCCAGGGCCCTCGATTACCCTGGCACTTATGTTATTCTTGTATTCAGTTCAAGGTCAGTTGTTCAAGCACGATTGGAACGGGTACATATGACGGCGGCCAGCCACTGTCTCCCGATGAGAACATGTCAATTCTTAGCGTCCCGGTACCGACCATGCGGGGACGGGGAGGCCCGACAGTCGAAATGTTGTAATATGCCAAGTATCCCGATCCGAGGCTGCCTACGGGACGTCAAGCTCTATTTGCGATTGAGTCGCGATGTTTTCGCGAACTAACTTGGAGCAGTAGCCCTTTTGACTCGGTGCGGACATAGCCGTCCTTCCTCCATAGGACGGGCCAGGTGAACCATTCCGCGAAACTTCGAGGTACCAAGAAGTCGGACAGCTCTCTGAAGACAAGCGACAACGGGCTTTTCATTGGGGCCGGATCGACACTAACCACTAGGCAATCAATCAGGCGTGCTAGAAGTGGCACCATGTAAGTGAAACCCGGCGAATAAAGCCAAATCGCAACCCGTGCCCAGCCCAGCGAGCTCTATTCAGATCGACCTTAGATATGAATGCGCCTCTCCAGCTACGGAACAGTGTGGAGGTCCTATTCTCACTTCTACGCAGTCAGCTGACCCCTTCGTGAAGCAAAAAAGACGCATAGACACCAACCTCAGCTCCCGATAACCGCTGTCGAATAATATTCGCCACGGTCTCTGGCCACACTGGTATTTGGCTGCCATGAAACCCTGGCGGATATTTGATACCTTTGTGTGTAGCCCCTTTCGGGTAAGTCACATAGGTGTCGTTCCAAACCGCATAGTGCTGATGAGTGTTCGTTAGAAGACGTGCCGGTATGGGTCAGCAGGACAATATGGCAACACACCTTGTGCCCCATATTTCGTGCCAGTAGCTCAAAGTCGTATGTATAACCTTATGGAAGTGGTTGTGTTAACGGATGGCGATGAGGGATGCCAAAGCTCAGGACGCACCCCCAGGTACCAGCAATTCAACAACAGTCGATGTCAAAGAGGGCGTCATCCACAGTTGGTGCTGCGAATACGAATTCGAATCTATAAGTGGCAGCTACCACCACTAGTAAGGCTCTCGCCGACTCACCGTCAGGCCATTTCCGTGTACCCCGATCATGATCTGATCGGCAAAATCATGTTTGCAATGAGTGCAAGCTCCTCGCCGTGATTGTTTCCGAGAAGACATACCGTAGTCCTTGCTGCGAGTTCAACCTGGTCTTTCAACGACATATCCTCCATCTGCACGACGTTGACTTCACAGAATCCTTGTGCCCCCAAAGTCATCAATTCCTCAACAAGCGCTTCATGGTCCTCTTGTTTAAGCCTTCTGCCGGTCCTTTGCCTCGAGATATAGGTCACTACGGGGGCCGATGATGCCACCTTCAAAGGCGAGACAACAATCCCTGGTCCACTGAATTGGGGCTTATAACCCAGTAGATTCGTGAGCAATGAACGTCGGATGGGATCCCAGAATCCTTCTGGTGCAGTGACGTTCATAGTACCCGCTATCATCTTGAACCATTGGCTGCTAAAGGGGCTGGAAAGTTTGCGGAGAGAAACAGCATGACGAACTAGATTAGCAACTCGCAGAACTTGAAGCAAGTAGTGGGGGAAACGCACTGTTTGTGAGCGGCTTCTCTATTGACCACTAACACCCTGCTGAACACGTAGGTCATATCCAGTTCAATTAGGTCCTGCCAATAATGTCCCGTCTCTACTGCGACTCCCGGGAAGGTGGCACGCATAAGTGGTCCGTTCATGGAAGCGCGATCGCGCCATCCGGTTTCTTCGACAAACTGGGTTTCGTGTCAGCGTAGGAAGGTACTCTTATGGGACGTCCCATACTCACGGGAGCCAAGAAGCGTTTCGGAAAAGGCAGCGGGGTGACTGTGTCCCCTTCACGCACACCCAGTTTGGAATAAACGCGCCATAACCCTAATATGATCTCGCCCCACCAATGATAATAATGCTAGGAGAAATGCCGTCAGTTCACTCGTTGCTGCTCATAAGTATAAAGGGCTGACATGCATGAATTGTGAGGGGTCGTACACCAGAACAGTAAAGCCATCAAAACGGTGGATATGGTCGCCAAACCTCCCTCTTGCACGTTCTGGCTTGATAAACTGCAACTCCTGGAAGTCGATAATGAGTTGACAGGGCTTTCGGGCTGCTGATAAGGCACTCACGTCGCTTGTGGGTACTAATGACACTCCTGGCTCCATCTTGAGCGGTTTTGCAAGGATCTCGGGCAATCTTGGGAATGACTTCCTATCCTTGGTAACCACGTAAAGCGTCCCATCCCGGAGATAAAGGTCGTCGAACACCGTAAAGCCGTGGGTTATGGCGCCGCCGGGTATCGTAGTAGGGTTTAGGACGCTTCCGAGTCCCTCGTTCGACCCTTGTGCCCCAGGTTGACTTGAGCGGTCCTTGTCCGATAAGTCGTCATCTTCAATATCGCATGTGTGCTCCATTCCTGGGGTCTGGTTGTCGATTCGACACCGACCATCGTGGTCGTGGGCCTTGTTATCGCCGCTTTGGTAGGCCTTTATCTGCTTCAAGAGGACTTGCTTGACATTGGACTGTGAGTAGTCACCCAGGAGTTCTGCGATGAATACTCCAATAAAGAATAGTCCAAGGAGGAGAATAATACGCCCTGGTCGTCGGCGGCCACCATGAAAGAATGAGAGAGCCATCTTGCTGTACGGTGGGAAGTTTGGTTTTGAATGTTGCCTGTCTTGATCGATCCCGTGCTTTCTGGTTTGTATAGCTGTGTGAGCTAAGGGGAGATTAGAGGGCTTGTCAAAGTAAGTGACGCACAGAGCATGACATAGAAGGAAGACACAGCGGTGGGGATAGGGAGCGAGCGCTATGACGCGACACGGGCAAAGCTGCTCATCCTTTATATATACCGCGCAGTTGACGCCAAGTAAGGCGCCTTTGATGAAGTAGACAATCGAACACCAAAAGCTTCTCATGGCGTAGGAGCGGAGGTTTCAACTGGTATTACAGGTGAATCAACGGGCGGAGATGGGCGTCTCTTGACTGATGCCTAGGATCTTGCAGAATACAAACCAGAAGAATACGGCGTGGCTGCCTCTCACACGTGGTAGAGCATTCGCCACTGCTGCTTCATGGCCAGTGTGCCAAGTGGGGGAACTGGCTAGTATCGTCGATCGAGACAGTGACACGCATGAATGGCGTATGGATATCTCGAGGTACTGAAGGTGCGAAGGTCTGTCTAAAATTCACTCACAGGTTCAGGTTGAACCGATTTGCTGCAAGTTCGCACTTCTTCTGACGTTCGTCCTATATTCTACACGCACTACTAGATCATGTATACCCAAGATAATCAAGTGATCGAAGCAAAACCAAGATGCAAGCAAGGGCAGGCCCGTACCAATACAAAATAGACTCGAGGAGTCTACTGGAACACGATTTCACGGGGGAAAGAGGTAAGATCATAGCTCCATGTCTCTACCGGGGCTTTCTCGTCTGTCAAAGTTCAAGTCATCCTCGTCCCAATCGAACAGTTCTTCGGCAGGGATGTCCGCAAAGTCTGCAAGTGCCTTCTGTCGTTCCCAGTCATCTGCGTACGCTTCTAGCTCCGCATCTTCAAGGTCTTCGGGAGTGAGTTGATCGGCCTGCGACGAAGGGGGGTCAGAGAGTGGGAGCTCGAGTTCTGTGACAGAGATTAGCAGGCGAAACGGTAGGCTTTGGTGCCAATCACCTTCTTGCAGCTCATTTTCCCACTGTTCGACGTCTTCAATATCGGGATCGAATGAGTCTCCGCAAGTGTCATAGTAAGACAGTCGGTATTTGTGCTTGAGTTTTCGATTGTCGTTCAGCATGACACGCCTGAGAACCTAAATGAAGAGAGGGATATGTCAAACTTATGGTAGTGGGATGAAAGATGACACACTTCATCGTCAAAGTCATCTTCAGCCTCACTCGCATGCTCGTCATCCACGTCCATAGATTCGTCCACGTCGAAGCCATCACTACTACTCATCGGCTCCATTCTTCTTTTGTTTTTGACTGTCTTTCTCCTCGCGTCTTTTGCGCGCTCCAAACAGGAGGTTCGGAACTTTTCTCGTAGGATCGAGCCAGTCTCGGTTGACATTGACATGGACATTGACGTGCACGGCGACTGCTGCCCATAGCTGTGACTAGGCCTCATTCTTGACTTGTACTGTGACCGTCTACGCTCCTGGACCTGTCGTATAGGCGAGGAAGGGGGACCAGACGGACTTGAACCGCCAGTAAGAGGTGAGGAATTTAGCGGTGTGTAGTTGTAGACATCGTGATGGCTGTATGAATAGCTTGATATCGTACGGTTTGTATGAGGCGTAACGGGTGAGATGCAGACAGGGCTTGGAAGGAACATGGTGATTAGGAACAAGAAGGGATCGCAGTGACACTGACACTGACAGTCAGTCAGTCAACAGAAAAGCTTAGTCACGCATCACGGGTACGCGTCGCGTTCACACACACGTGACAATATTTCCACGCGCTTCCGCTGCCTTCCTCCTCGAGCTTCCACTTCAAATTTTGAATTTTCAGAGTATTCCTCAAGCAATTTCCCAAATTTTTACAGCAAAATGACGAGAGTGGGATTCGAACCCACGCCCCGGAGGACTAGAGATTGGAATACCTAAATCTAGCGCCTTAGACCACTCGGCCATCTCGCCATACATAATGAATGCAAATGAAAGGTCATAGACAGTCTGCTTTGACCAAGGCGAATCTGTGTACCTAGTACTAAGCGGAAGAAGAGCAGAATAAAAGCCAGGACAGGATTTATCGCTCCCTATGACGTGGTAATGACAGTGGACATGAGGTCCAAAAGTCGGACTCGAAATTATTAGGGCCGAAGTTCGGGTGAACTTAAAGCTCAAGGTCTTGTACATAAGTTATTTCAGACTCAGAGCAACCATCCGACCTAGCTTTTGCTCAGCTGTCGAAGCTTTCTTTAATGTTCAGGATCTTGATGGAGATCGAAACTCCCGGGGGAATGTCATCAGCGAGACCATACTGATATGGCTTGGGGATTTGGAACGCGATGAACACGAAGGCCATAAAGATTTACTCGGCGTGATTCAGGAAAAGTTATCGACTGTTGATGCAGATATTGACAAAGATCAAACCTAAAAATGTGTAAGGACGTCCGTGATCACAAAGATCCCACCTTGAGGCTTGCAGTACAGTCAACACTGTCAAAAACACCTAAGTCCATCCAAAAGTCGCGTTCCGTTCAAGCGCATGGTAAGGAAATGGGGGAACACCAAGCAGACTAGATTAGTTCAGAATGCTTACCGTGTCATGTCGTGGGCTATCAGGAAGCGGGCCCTCACAGCCGAAAAGTCGGAGAAGGTACTGGAGACTGCACGTTCGGGCATTTAGTAACGTCCGAGGTCTGGATCTGAGGCTTCGAGGTCATGAGGAACTACTGAAGCCTGAGACCTGAGTGTGGAATTATCCAGCGTGGCTCTCATTGGGAGGCGATCAGACTCGCTGGCTGGATGATGCAAGAATCCGATGAGGACTAGAAGGTGTACTTGACCTTTTGGTTTTGAGCATCTAGATGACTAGGAACTCGGACTATTCGGTGTGTAGGGCTAATACAGATCCAGAAAGGAAGACGATACGCCGAATTCTCAGGAAATCGTACAAGTGAATGGCACAACATCGAAGCCAAAGCTCGAGGTCGAGATTGAGCAAAAGCACGTTGTAGGGACTTGCCCAATCTTCATAACACGTTAGATTCACAGAGCCCTCTTCTTAACCTCGCACTGGTAAGGGGCCTGAATGAGCTGAGCCACCCGTAAGGTCATTCTTGTGTTTGCGAGGGCGGCGCGAGGACAAGTTTCAACGTTCAACATCAAGAGTGGCAGGAAATTGGCCGACTTTGCGAAGAAACAAGAAACAAGATAAAATCTTTGCTGACCGTGTGCCTGCCCCAACGTGGGAAAATGTCAGGTGCCTGCCTAAATGAAAAGTACTGGCAGCTTTGCTCTTGTTCGGGTCTCTCCATCGTCCCTCACCATGCCAAGCTTACTGGAACCAGTTCCCCATTTGAATACCTACGCTTTTGCTGCCCTTGAGCTCTTGGGCGCAGCTGGGATGACTCTGATCTTTGCAACTGCTCTCCTTTCTCCTCACGTCAAACGATGCTCGACCTGGTACACCTTTTGCGTCTCTTGGATCGTGTCGTGTCTTTCCTATTCTCTTCTGTTCTTTCGCAAGCCATCTCATCTCATCGGCTCCATATCGGAATGGGATCATCACTCAAAGAATATCTGTGTTGCGCAAGCTGCTCTGGTCTACTCAGTTCCAACTCTGTACATCCGATTCTGATTGTCGCGGTTCACGATGGATTGGGTTATTGACGAGTTTGCTGGTAGGACTGCTTTGACGACGTTGTTTCTACTTATACACGTGAGTTATCGCGTTCTGTTTTAATGGAATGATACGTCTAATTCCCATCTAGAGCTGGTACAACGTTCATTTCGGTCTGACGAAGCCTCCTCTTGAATCACATAGACGCGTCATGGGCGTGGTATGTCGCATGATTAACATTTTACTTTCAATGATTCCTCAAAAAGCGTCTGATCAGTTCTTGGTCATTCCATTTGTTGTGTGGGCTCTGATGTTTGTGGGATTTCTCTACGTGCGTCAAGTCCTTGGTTCACGTATCGACTCCATTAATAATGTAATCCCAGTATGGCATCAAGAATCCAAGTCTCGCGTCAAATTTCGGGTCGATGTACTGCACTTTCTCCAATCTCATGCCGTACGGACCACCGCCAAGCCTCGAGCGTCTCCTATGCTTATCTGCACGTTCGTAGGGCCAAGGTCTCCTCGCTTTTTGTGATCATCATTACCTTTTCCACGATCCCCATTCAAGGTAGGCAAAGGATTCTGTGCGTTTAACCGTCTGGCTGATCATTTGCATTCGGACTAGCCTCCCTCGGGATATCTCTTCTACGCGACTTTGATCGAAGTGATACTAGGAGTACCATTTGCGTCCAGACTCTGAAGATGGTCGTGCGGGTGTTGATATTCAGCTTTTTGATCCTCATTGGTTTTGCGTTAGTTCTCGTCAATTCTGCGTTACCCGAGTATCACTGACGATGATATCGGGGCACTGGTCAGGGAAGGACTCATTCATTTACTGACGGAATACCATAAGCCGGGTATTGATATTCTCCTAGCTTTTCGTGAGTTGTTCGCCTCTGCGGGCTTGGGATTGTCTGGGCTCTTCCTTGGTGTTCCTACTTATATACGCACGAATCAACAGTACCGGTTTCGGGGGTTGTGATATTTGGTGTTCAGAAGGTTTGTTTTGCCGAGTTTTCAGAGACGGGAAGTTGATCGATGTGTTTAGGATCTATTTCAAGCGTGGAAAGGACTCTTCGACTTGAGGCTCAAGCCAGCCGACGGGCTGGCCTCTCGTAGATCCTCCACTGGTGGAAACACGAATGAGTTTGAGTTTGGGACACCTCTTTCGAGGGTGAACGCTCCTGCGTAGACTAGTGGCTGGGGTGTTGATGTCGTCCGTTCCTTGTTCTCTGTCGTTCTTTGCTACCGGATGTTCTGTTTTTCCTCGGATTTTCTCTCAACTGTGTTCTCTGTTGTAGTAAAGGCGTGCGTGGATTACTTTGATTTACCCGTCCGGGTGTTTCTGTGGCAGCCGTTGGATTGATAATCTCCCAATGGTGGAGTTAACAACCGTCGCATGTCGGCGATAAGTTGGGAGGCGCGAGGACAGCTTGGCTTAGCTCCGCAGTGCTTGGGAATGGGATGACAAAGTTGATAATCAGCTATCAAAGTCACTGTTGGTTGTTGGTGGCACGGCGGACTCGGAGGTTGGCAGGTGGCTGGACGTCGAGTGTTCTGGGGATCGAGCTGAGCCGTTTTTGAATCGGGCATGCTCGGAGAGCGGTCGCACTTGAGTCTCTAGCCTTCAAAGGACTCGGACTCGTCAGTGGGGTGTCTCTCGATCACGCCCTCTACATAGACCGCTTTGAAAGCGTCTGGGGTTGGACATTGGTCACACCCGCACCGGGATGGCAGATACGCCAACTTGAACAAGGCGTCCCGTTGCTCCACTCAGCGCATCGACTCGAGGTGATTGTGTGATTGCTTCGTACAGTTCTGATATCCCCATGATCACGATGGTTGATTTGAGGGTTAATCTACCGACAAAGAAGATGTGGGTAAACCTGGCCCGATCGTGTATCGACGAGAGGCCGCCGTCTGTCTCCCAGTCGGATGGGTCCGTATACTGTAAAACGTCCCTCGAGGCCAAGGGAACGCAAATCCAAGTTTGGTATCGAGACCAGTCAGGTTTATACGCCAGTATTAGCCACCTAGTGGCTGTGGCAAATCTCGGGGATCTGGTTGGCCACATGAACGCTATCCGCGGGATGCCAAGGTCAAGTTGTCGTCTTGGTACCCTGTCAACATCGAGCGTGGAGGTTATCAATCTTTACATGAAAAGGCTTGGCATGAAGCGGGAGAAGTTAATATGAAGGAGACTCATACAGCCTATGGTGATATCGGGTGGGAGTAGAAGTTGTCATGAGTTCGAGAAGTTTGTGACCCCTGAGGGATGAATCTACGAGGTGAAACTTGGGCTGCAGCAAGCCTGCCAGCGTTGGCTCCCCGCTCGACGGAGTCGCAGTGGCAACTCGATCGCAACGTCGCGACCCGCCACTCACCTCATCGAATTGAACGTTTGCCGGCGGTTCCTCTTCGGGGAATGATGATGGTATGTCCTTGGCGAAAGCCAAGTGATACTGGAACGTTCCAAGCGCATCGTTTGAATGAATGATTTCTATCTTCGGAGGCTTGGGACAGGCAGTTTAGGGGAGGCATGGAGCTGCCGTGAGCTATCCTGCGCAATCGCAGGGACATAAGGGCGACCCGGGGATGCGATTGAACTTTTTGCCAAGGATCTAGGTAGTTTTAGAGTGGCAAATCCTGTAACCTTTTGAATGAGATTTCGGAGAACCCTCGTGTGAATAGAAATGCCACGGGATGTCTTGTTCAACACTAACGTTCAATGCAGTACTTGATGGTATATAAAGTGGCTGGAGAAAAACCGCGCCGTTACCTCCACGATCGAACCTTCCAGGTTGCCACCTCACGTCAGAATACTTGAAAAGAGGTCACCGAACCTGACGAATCTGTTCACCATCCTTACCTTGATCTCTAGTTCCTCCATAACGACCTATTGGCATTGTCAAGGGCGGAGTTGAGGCAGAATGTCCACAGCCGTTATCAATGCTAGCGTAATCAACGTTGAGGCCCTGACGGAAGTAAACAAAACCAAACAAGCCTTCTTAGAAATCGACCATGAAGCGGGAATTCTGAATCTTTTGTAAGTCGAACACTCATCATCCACTTCTTTTGTTACCTCAATTCACGCATCTGAAAGGTTGAAAGCCTCTTTCTTTTCTCCAAGATCGGCATCGGATTCGTCGAATACTGATAGCCGGCACCCCCAATTGCCATCTTCACCGTCGTCGACAGCGGCGGTCAGTCATCAACTTGACAATCCTGAAGCCCATAGGCCCAGTACTTTGCAACCTGGTATGGAACGAAATGGGCTAGAAGACAGAGCCAACGATGAATCTCAAGGAAAGGAGCCAATCCTTGCTTGGGACTGGGACGTAGAGCAGGAAGA